AAAAAAAAAAAAAAAAAAAAAAAAGAATATGAGAGGGCAGGCCAGGCAGGTGGGTGGGGCCCAAGGAATCCCAAGCCGGAGTGTGGGAGGCTGGTTGGGCCAGGAGCCAGGGTGTGTATGGGGGTGTATTAGGTATTATACTTCCTTAATGGCTCCTGTATCACTGCCAGGCCTTGTCTAGCCATCAGCCACAGGCTCCCCACAGCATCAAGATGGAAGTCAAAGGTCAGCTGATCAGCTCTCCTACCTTCAATGCCCCAGGTTGGTAGCTGGTTCCCCCTCCTGCTGCTCTTCCCCTGCTCTGAATCACTACCTGCCCTCTTGAGGAGGGTTGGTCTCTGGCCCTGCAGATCCTCCGGGATGCCTTAGCTATTCCACTGATCTTTGCTCCCTCTGTGTCCAGCTGCCCTGTTTGGAGAGGCTGTGCCCCAGGTGAAGTCAGACCGTCTGCGGGTGCTACTTGACCGGCAGCGGGCTCTGCAGGAGGCACTGAGCCTGAAACTTCAGGAGCTCAGAAAAGTTTGTCTCCAGGAGGCGGTGAGAGCCAGTCCCTAGGGGTCTCCAGTGGGAGGGAGTAAGGAGCTGGGACCCTGGGTAGGCGGACTGTGTTAGCAGTTGCTGAGCCACTTGTCTGGGCTGTGGGTTACCTGAAAACCCCTTGTCTCCTCAAAGCTCTGCTTAAATGTCTTAGAATCAGTGAATCAGTGAAATATGATGTCAGCCCACAATTCCCACTTAACTCTAAATCCCAAAGCCTCAAAAAATGAAACCCATTTCCAAAATTTGGCAGTGCAGCCTACCCTGAACTGACATACAATGATTTATGGTTTCGACTTAGAGCTTTTAGTGTGAATGTCCACAGTTTGCTGGAAATAATAATGTGGTTCAGACAATGCAGCCCCAGACCTGATGGGGGTATTATATAAAGTACACTACATAGACTGTGTCTTTTTAAATAAAAACTGCAATATTCTGCACTCCAAGTTTTGTAGTCTTTGGTACCTCCTGCCCCAGGGTTTGGGCTATTGAAGGGCTGAGAGTCTATGCTACTCACCTGCCTGGTAAAGGAAGAGACATAAGGTGTGGGGTGCTGGGCAGGGCCAGGCTCCACAGAGGACTTCTGTAGCTTCTGGGATCATCGCTGCTTTACTCTGCGCCTACAACTGACTCTTGGTCATGTCTGTTCCCTGAACCCTCCAGGAGCTCACTGGCCACTTGCCCCCCGAGTGCCCGCTGGAGCCTGGTGAACATCCTCATTTGATCCGCCGGCGGCCCCCTGTAGCCCGTGCCTACCCTCCACCACATCCTAACCCAGCACACCACTCCTTGTGCCCTGCTGAGGTGAGCAGATGGGTGTGGAGGGCAAGATGGTGGGGGAAAGGGACAGGAACAGGCTTGGGAAGAGTACCTGGGAGTAGGAGATGAGAAGGGAAAGGGCTTGAAGAGGTGTTTGTTTTTTTTTTTTTTGGTATTATGCTGTCCCCAACTCTGTCAGTACTGGCCTCCCGCTTTCAGGAAGATGAACAAGCCCAGCACAGAGAGGGTGAATTAAGCTCCATCCCTAGGCAGATAAGCCTGCTTGCAGGAGGAGCAGGCCCTGCTTCCAGTGCAGATAGATTCCACCACTGCCTGGGTCCTGTGCCTGGCCATTTCCAACATTTGGTCCTATACCACCCCTCTTGGGCCCTATAGGAGCTGGCTCTTGAGGCCCTGGAGCGGGAGGTGTCAGTGCAGCAGCAGATCACTGCAGCTGCTCGTCGCTTGGCCTTGGCCCCTGAGCTGAGTGCTGAGCAGCGCCGGCGCCGGCGCCAGGTGCAGGCAGATGCTCTGCAGAGGCTGCATGAGCTAGAGGAGCAGCTTGGAGATGTCCGGGCCCACCTTGGCCTCCCAGTGCTTCCACCCCAGCCACTGCCACTGTCCTCGGGAGCACTCATCACCACGCAGGGAGTCTGCCTAGGCACGCGCCTCACTCAACTCAGCCAAGGTGAGCCAGGCCCTAGAATCCCACCAGTGAGACAGGGAGCAAGGGCAGGAAATGAGCTCTGGCTAATGGATGGGTGAGTAGCCAGTGAATGCTGAGAGATGGACAGATCTTAAGGGAGCCACCGAGTAAGAAGAGTTATGATTAAAAAAATGGTTAATTGGCAAGTGTTCCAGTGGAGCTCTGTTTTTGTTGGCATGTGTTCAATAAAAGCCCATTGGAACTCCAAAAAGAAAAAAAAGAGTTGTGATAAAGGGGGATAAATGGGCAAGGGAGACCCTGGGGGACTGATTAGTAGGAACTAAGAAAGTGAAGACCCAAACCCATGCTGGTCTTGCATTCATTTAAAAGTGGGTTTCTGGGGAGGGAACAGAGCGAGGAGGAACCACCCAAAATGTGGGGTGAGCAGAGGAGCCCATCTAGTGGGGCAAGAGGATGGTACCCAGGCTTTGGGGTGATGGTTCTGGTTTTCTCCCTTCTCACCTATAGAAGATGTAGTCCTGCACTCGGAGAGCAGCTCCCTCTCAGAATCTGGAGCTAGCCATGACAATGGTGAGGACTTGTATCCCTTAACCTGCCCCCAGTCCCCTGCTAGGTCCCCTCAGCCCATCCTGTGATGCTCAGATCCTCCCCTACTTGTTTAACTGTTCCTTAGCTGTGCTGCATCTTCCTGTGGCCTCCATCTTCTTTTGGGGGGTATTTTTTGTTTTGTTTTAGAAACAGGATTTTGCCCTATAGTGCAGGCTGGCCTTGAACTCACTATGTAGTCCAGGCTGGTCTTGAACTCTCAGCAGTCTTCCTGCCTCAGCTTCCTGATGATGGGATTAAAAGGCATGCACCACCATTCCCGTCCCCCGCATCTTCTTAGTGTTAGCCCATCCCTCCCTCCATAGTTCCAAGGCCTACACTGTGAGCTCTTCTCATCTTTTTGCCCTGTTTCGTTCCTTAGCTCCTTAGCCTGCTTAACCCCTATCCCAGCACTAGCCTTTGCCCTGTGCTTTGTGCCAACCTGTCCTGGCCCTTCTGGGCCCTTTGTTTTTTTTTGTTGTTGTTTTGGTTTGTTTTTTGGTACTGGGGCTCGAACTCAAGTCCTTGTGCTTTCGAGGCAGGTGGCAGCACCACTGAGCTAAACTCCTGGCCCTGGGCCCTTTGTTTTTAACTTCTACCCCAGTTTTTTTCTTCCATCCAGAGGAGCCCCGTGGCTGCTTCTCTCTGGCCGAGCGCCCCTCACCACCCAAGGCATGGGACCAGCTTCGGGCAGTATCTGGGGGGAGCCCTGAGAGGCGAACCCCGTGGAAACCACCCCCGTCGGATCTTTATGGGGATTTGAAGAGCAGGCGGAACTCTGTGGCCAGCCCTACCAGGTGAGGGTGAGCTCTTTCTTCATGCACCCCAGGAGTCAGGAATGGGATCCTGAGCCTGGGCTGGCAGGAGGGCCTGCTGTGGGGTATGGACTCTAACCTGGGCCCCGAACTGGGCCTGCCTGTCTCTGTCTAGCCCCACCCGCTCGCTGCCCAGGAGTGCCTCCAGTTTTGAGGGGCGAAGTGTGCCTGCCACCCCTGTCCTCACCCGGGGCACTGGCCCCCAGCTGTGCAAGTAAGGGGACTCTGAGGGTGGGTCTGAGGATCAGAGGAAGGAGCCTTTAGTTCTTTTTTGTTTGTTTTGTTTGGTTTGGTTTTGGTTTTGATTTTTTGAGACAGGGTCTCACTATGTAGTTGAGACTGACCTGGAACTCACTAATTAGCCCAGGCTGGTCTCGAACTCACAGCGATCCTCCTGCCTCGGCCTCCTGAGTACTGAGGGAGCCTTTAGTTCTAATTGGAGGTGTTGAGGAGAAATTGTCAGAAGGTGTGGGATATGGGCATTTGGCAGTGTGAACGTGAATAGGAATTATCTTGGTGCAGAAAGGCGAGGGAATTCGGAACAGAAGCAGCAAAGTTTGAGTATAGGCTTTTCCTGAGTCTTGGATAGGTCATTTCCCTTCTGAATCATTGTCTCATTTTTGAAGTGGACATAGCAATACCAGCCTTTGAAAGATGCAGGCATTTGAACAAATTATGAATGATTGATTAAAATATTCCAGTAAGAAAATAAACATGGAGTAGGAATTTAAAGAACTCAATAAAATTCCTACTTTTTATTTCAAAAAAACACGGGCATTATAAGTTCTGGGTAACATGTACTAAATACCTACCATCTGCTAGTAATCAGTACTTTATAGCAACTTATTTAAGTATCAGCAAGATCCCTCTGAAGGGGTATTATTGCCATTCCCATTTTATAGCTGAGCAAACTGAAGTGTAAAGATTACTTGTTAGTAAACTGAAGGCCTGGTATTTGAACCCAAGCAATTTTGACTTTAGAGTTTGCTTTTAATCACTATACTGTTAAATACTTATAAGTGCCTACTTTCCCCAGGCTGCAAAAAGCCCCCAAAGCCCTGTCCTTGTAGGGCCTGCATTCTGTGCATGGTGGCTGTTGTGGTTCACGTACATGATGTGACAGAGTTTTTTTTTTTTTTTTTTTTTTTTTTTTTTCGTACCAGGGATTGAACCTGGGTCCTTGGGCTTGTAAGGCAGGCAGTAGAACCACTGAGCTAAATCCCCGGCCCCAGACTGGTCTTATATTCTAGGCTTAAAGACTGGGACTTCGTCCTGGAGGTAGAGAGAAGCCATGAGCAGGACCTTAGCAGGAGTTGAGGCGTCCAGGTGCATTAGAAGGAACCCTCTCAGTGTTTTCTCCTCAGTTCTACACATATTTACATACCCCTTCAGCTAGCAGCCCTGTCCCCCAATCTGGGACCGAACCTCAGCTGCCATTAACATGCCACTATCACCTTTGCACACAACTTCTAACCCTAGGTCCATTTAGAGACGTATGTGGAAGTGAGGCTCAGAAAGAGATGAGGTAGGGAGGGCACTGGTCATCTGCCTCATTTTTCTGACCTTCCTCCCATTACCCCTACCTCTGTGCTGCAGACCCGAAGGCCTCCATTCTCGCCAGTGGTCCGGCAGTCAAGACTCCCAGATGGGCTTCCCCTGGGCCGACCCTGCCTCTGATCGTGCCTCCCTCTTCGCAGCTCGCACTCGCCGCAGTAACAGCTCTGAGGCCTTGCTGGTGGACCGGGCAGCCGGTGGGGGAGCTGGTTCCCCACCTGCCCCTCTGGCTCCCCCTGCCACTGGCCCCCCAGTCTGCAAAAGCAGTGAAGTGCTATATGAGCGCCCCCAGCCACCCCCTGCCTTCTCCTCCCGCACAGCTGGCCCCCTAGATCCTCCCCGGGTCACCCGGCCTAGTTCAGCTGCCCCTGTCTCCCGTGGGGCCCCCAGGCTGCCACCTGTGTATGGGGACTTCCTTTTGGACTATTCGTTGGACCGGGGCCTGCCCCGAAGTGGCGGTGGGGCAGGCTGGGGGGAACTGCTGCCTGCAGCTGAGGCCCCAGGACCCCTCTCCCGTCGGGATGGGTTCCTCGCCATGCTCCCTGGCCCACCACCCGTATATGCAGCTGACAGCAGCAGCCCCCTCCTCCGCAGCAAGGACCCCCACACCCGTGCTACCCGTACCAAGCCTTGTGGCTTGCCCTCAGAAGCTGTTGAGGGCCTGGAGGTGCATCCAAACCCTCTTCTCTGGATGCCCCCACCCACCCGTATACCCCCGGCTGGTGAGCGCAGCGGCCACAAGAACCTTGCCCTGGAGGGGCTGCGGGACTGGTACATCCGGAACTCGGGACTGGCCATGGGGCCCCAGCGCCGACCTGTGCTGCCACATGTGGGCCCACCACACCCGCCCTTCCTCCATGCCCGCTGCTATGAGGTGGGCCAGGCACTATATGGGGCGCCCAGCCAGGCGCCGCTCCCGCACTCGAGGAGTTTCACGGCACCCCCTGTCTCCGGCAGGTATGGGGGCTGCTTTTATTGATGGGTAGGGGTCTCTTGAGGCATATGGCAAAGTTATCCAGGCTAGGGAACTAGTCATGCTGCTAATGACTGGGCCCACAGGGACATTCGTTGTAGTGTTGGCATAGGCACTGTACCAGGCATGAGCAGTGTTAGTCCTTTGGGTCCTGGTGGAGGGGGATCTTGGGTGCTGTTAGCAGCAGGTCTTTACCAAGCTGTAGAAAGAAGCCTTTTAACATTTTACCAGTGCAAGTCAGCGGGAAGTGAGCCTTGAGATCAGGGTGCTGGGTGGAAGGGACGTCGTGTGCCCCTTACCTTTCTCTTCCTCTTTTTCCATGCCCCATGTTTGGGAACCTTATGCCTGCCTTCACCTCTTTAATGAGCCTGTTTTCCTCTCTCTTTCTGTGTCTTGTCTGTCTTTTCTCATCTCGTCTTCCCCACCCTGTCCTCCGGATTCCTGCTGTCCCTTCTAAAGATACTACGCGGACTTCCTGTACCCCCCGGAGCTGAGCGCTCGCTTAAGCGACCTGACGCTAGAGGGGGAGAAGTCTTCCAGTTCTGACCCCCAAACCCCAGGGACACTGGTTTGACTCTTTCTGATATGCCCCTTGCTGGCCTGGGCATGACTCCACCCTGAGGAGCCCATAGGCGAACTTGCTGAGCTGCTCTGGGATGTGGTTGCTCTCATTCCTGGGGGATGCCAGCCTGATCTTCCAAGGCCCATGGCTCCCTGTGGGCCCAGGAAGGTGTCTGATACCTTGCTTCTCTCTCATACTGTGCTGGGGACGGGGGGGCCTCAGTCAGCTTCAGAGAGGGGGGGATAATGTCATGGGGACTCAGCCCCTTCCTACATTTCTGTTTACAGTTGTGATTTAGTATTCATTGTCTTCACCCAACATTAGGCGTTTTATAAAAGGGAAACTGAGTTCATCCTGGTTGGGTTCATTCCTGTCCCCATGCCCAGCCTATCCCATGAAATAGACCATACAGAGTCTCGGGGCCCTGTTGAGGGTTACCGGGAGACTGGTATGAGCAGAACTCCCTGCCATCTTCCATTAAGGGAGTTCTTGTGCAGGTGGGCTCTCTGCTCACCTTTGGATGGATTGAGTGTGGATGAGATGCCTGAAGGAGCCCCTGTCCTTGTCTGTGCCCTCAGCCTGTGTGTCCACCATCCCCAATCAGGAGGCTGCAGGTTGGAAAGGGGTAGAGCCATCAGGTGTGTTACATTCTGGGATGCTGTGGTGGTTGAACCTGGCATCTGGTAGATGTCAGTAAAATCCTCAGGTGACGTCTGGCCATGGGCCACAGCCCACGTCACATCTTCTTTAGCTTTCCTTCCATTCACCACTTTTTAAACAACTCTACAAACTGTGTTTTCTATGATACATATCTGTGACTTTCTGGAGCTGGGGGTTCCCCTACCCCATTTACCTGGTGTTAAACTTTTCTTTTTGTACCAATGGATCTGGGCCCAAGACACTACCCACACTGGAAGGGGATTTCTATAATAAATGTGTAAACTGAACCTGTTGCTCCTCTATCTGCTTTGCCACAGGGGCCCATACTTCAGTCCAGATAATACAGTAATTTTTTTTTTTTTTTTAGGTACCGGGGATTGAACTCGGGTCCTTGCGCTTGCGAGGCAGGCCACCGAACCTCTGAGCCAAATCCCCGGCCCAATACAGTAATTTTTATAGGAAGAAAAATACTGTGAAATGGGCCAGGGTAAAACAAAGCACTGTGGAAACAGCCAAATAATGTCATCTGTTTTGACTTGACTTTGCCTTGTGAGGTGAGGCAACTTTTTTTGGCTGCTTGTCCTCAGATTCCTGGCCCACCTGAAGAACTCGTGTGTTTATATGTGATGCTAGGGCTCTGCATGTGTTAGGTAAGCACTGTACCACTGAGCTCCATTCCACACATTATACCCTTAGTCTGTGCTAATCCAGAGGTAACAGGTTTGAGGAACAACCTGAGTGATTACCCCTCGGTCCACAGTCAGGTAGAATTCAACAGCATTGAAAAGCAAAAGGCCACCCTGTCCGCTGAAATGCAAAAGGACTTCAGCCAGGAGCCCGAACTAGCTTGAGATATGTAACAGCTTTATTGTTGCAGCAACACTAATATATCTACCCCATTTCCAGTTGGGGCTACCTCACACTCCGCCCCTTGGTCCGTGACACTGTGGAATATTGGGAGAGGGGCAAAACCTCAAATAGCAGAAGGCAACTGGGACTGGTGAGGGTTGAGGTCACCTGGTTCAACAGAATCAGGATACCTGATTCCGCCCAGGTGAGGACTGAGGGCACTTGGCTTGGGGTCTAATTTGGCAGTGCCTTAACCTAGGTTTGAAACTAGGGTGGGGTCTGGAAAAGCCTTGGTCCAAGGTTCAAGATTTGAGAATGTCTTGACCCAAGCCCCAGCTTTGGTGCTGCACATAGCAGACTGGTGAGTCCCAGAATTTAGGTAGGTATCTCTAGGTCCATGTTTTGAGACTGGCCATGGACACTCTAGTCCCAAGCCCAAGGTCTGAGGCTAGATATAGGTGACTCTGGGTTGTAAGTTGAATGTTGTGGAAGACAATAATCCCTAGGTAATGGGGGCTTGGGTGTGAGTGATACCCTAATTTTTTTTGACAGGGTCTTGCTCTGTAGTTCAGGCTATCCTTGAGCTCACTACATAGAATAGACTGGCAATACTCCTGCCTCAGCCTCCTGAGGGCTGGGATTACAGATGAGCACCACCACACCCAGTTGATACCCTGATTTTAAACCCGGGTGGAAATTACTGATGTCCTTTTTTTTTTGGACTGGCCAAGTTGCTCTTGACTTCTATTATAAAAGCTGGGAAAGGGGTCTGGGTGCCAGTATGGGCTGGGGTGGGGGTGTTCTTCAGGTCCTGGGTACAGGTTCCAGGCCCTTAGGATCCAGCCTCCTGTTCTTGTCCCAGTGCTTCTAGTAGCAGCCCCATTGGCGTCCGCTTGAGACCAATGCTCTCAATTTTGTTCTCAATCTTGTTTTTAAGGTTGCGAAGGCGTATCGAGGCATGCACCAGGATCACTGTGGGTGGTACGAGAGGAGTGGGGTCAGTGGGATGGGGCTTCAGCTTGCAGCCAATGGGGGCCCAGAGAAGGGAACTGGGGCACAGGCAGGCCAATGGAGTGGTCGGCAACCAGGATGCCTGTTAGGTATGGCCAAGTATTTCAATTCGTTTGGCAGTGGAGGCGTGGCCACAAGAAAGGGTTTTCAATAACAGGGATGTGGCCAGTGCTTTAAGACACAACACCAGGAGACCCAAATGTCACTAATAAGAGGGGTGTTCCCAGAAGGAGGGAGCAAAGCCAGGAAAGGAGCATTTAACAGAGCTGCCCTCCGGATTTCCCAGCCCTGTCTCAGACCAAAATCAGTACAGGCCGAGCCTGGCATCTTAAGTATTGGCCGTTTTCCCAGGCATCTCAGGGGTTAGTAGAGACTCACAAAGCACCGGCCCGGCGATGCTGAGCAGGAAGGTGCAGGCGCCGCCCGCGACCCAGAGAATGAGGAGGCCAACGGCAAGCACTGCGGCTAGGCAGGCGGCAGGGTGGCTGCGGCGGCAGCGTCGCATTGCTGCGCGGGTCTCAGCCACCCACACCAGCACACCAAGGGCCAACAGCACTGCCAGCGCGCTCAGCAGCGTGTGCAGCGGACGCACGTACCTGCAGGAACAAGGGTACTAAGCTAGCCCTCCCATCAAATCAAGGAGCTTTAATTTGCAGCCCGCAAACACTCCCACCAGCCCTGCCTCAAACAGGTCCATCCTCCAGGAGGATTTCTGTGGACCCTCATTCCCTTTGCTTGAATCTTACAGTCCATTTTCCTAAGGTCTTTGCTTTAGATCCTCCCATTCTGCTAGCCTGGGCTCCTGGCATTTCCCTGGTCTTTCCTACCCTCCAGGACTCCTCTCCAGCAACCCTCCAACTGCCCCCACATACCTCATGTGAGCCAAGTCTCTGCAGATCCCTCATCTAGGCTTCCAGTCTCCACACATCTACATCTCCCCTGGCCCATGGTCCTTAGATGACCCTGTTCTAGGTGTCCTCTTTCCCCATCACGATTCCCATTTCCCTGTAGATCCTTCCTCGAATCATTACTAGAACGCTTCCAGGCCTCTGATCTAACTCAACTTCCAGCCCTGACCAAGTCCCTCCTCTACATTTTCCATCTCTCTGGTCTCAAGCTTTTCAACCCTGGGTCTTCCCTCTGGGCTCAAGTTCTCCAACAGGTATCTGCTCCCGGGGCGTTCCAATCATGGATAAGATTCCCTCCAAGACTACTCCACAAATGTACCTTCCAAACCCTTCAACTTTTACCATGTCCCTGATCCTACCTCTTGTCCTAAATCCTCCAGGACTGCTTTCATCTGACCCCATCACATCACCTCACCTAAGTACGCATGTCCCCTTTGCAAGGCCTTAATTTCAGGTCCACCTCCCAGCCCACTTTACCCTTTAGCTCCACTCTGTCCATCCTTTCCAGGTCTTCCCTCTACACCCTTTATTCCCAGCAGACCCTCCTTATGACCAACCAGGACCCGCCTCTTTTTCTATGCTCCTCAGGCTTTTC